TGGTTAGGTCTGGTGCGAATGCCGCGCACGTGAGGCCGTCCGCAACACTGTTCTCGCCGCGTCGCCTCAACATGGATCTCCTGGTGAGAACCCTCCCATGGAAATGTTGTGGAAAGTCACTTGATTCCATTGACCCGTCGCGACACCACAGAGCGATATCAAAAGTCAGAATGAACTTGCCCGTGGGGCTTTTTTATCGCTGGTGGTTTTCTTTCTCGTAGGATGCGAAGCTGAAGATGGGCTTAAGTCACGCCCCTTGACATCCCCCTCTCCCCTCGAACGCGACGGTATCCAGTATGAGTACTAAGGGCTTCTCTAGCACTGAAGGACCTTCCTGAAAGGGCATTTAAAAAAGCTTTCAGTAAGAGTGAATACCTCGCTGGTACCTAAGAATGAAGGATAAAGTCTTGCCGTTGATCAATCATTTTTTTGGGACGCGGCTGTGGTATACGGATAAGAAGGGTGATTGCCCGGTATACGCATATTCACCTTTCACTTGGGATTTCCTAAACATTTCTAAAGTGCTCAAGCTAAGGCACCGTTCATACTTCGCGTACAGCAGTGGCGACAGGCAGTGGCGGACCGCGGCGAGAGTCGTCGGTAGCGTCGTCAAGAGCGCTTCTCAATGCCCTATTATTACGAACCACTCGTGCTTGATAAATAAGGAATTAAGACCTGTTATAGACCATTTTTCTACTTAGTAATGGCATAGAACATTAAACAGAAGGCTTTTCTCTAACATAAAAGGATCTGATATAAGGAGGAGATGGTTGATACCCTTTTTTTAGGCTGGGATAGCAACTTCATTTGATAAGGTGAGCGTTCTCTTTGTTTCTTTGGTTTTCAATCTGTTTCAATTTATATGACTTTCTAGGGCACGTGCGAAACGGAAACTAGACTACTTCCTTGAAACCAATAAAGATATAACTAAAAGATATATAAATAAAAAGATAAAAATAAAGTTGAATTTTAATGTTTCAGTATATGTATATTATATCACAGGTTTGAACATCAAAGTTATAATCATAAAAGTAAACTGATTAAATAACATGAAAATCACATTATATGAAATTTCTTGATATTTTCCTACTGGGCAAACTGTTCAGCTTCCAAAATTTTTTATAGTTTGCAAATCGTAAAAACAACGAAAAAAAAGAAATAGGAACTCACCTACGAATCAAACCTAATTCTTTTTTGCAACATCGAGAGTAAGGAATTCATAAGTTCATGAATAAGCTTCAAGAGTGAAAAAGAAACTGTAAGAGAATTACCCTAAATGGAGCCCCCTTGCTTTTTGCTCATTTCTATCCTGAACCGAAAAAAAAAGAAAATAGAAAAAAGCCATTAGCCTCATCCACGTTTCCTTGAGTCAAAACAAACCCTAGTACCTGAGGCAATTGCAATTAGAAGAAAAAAAGCAGGAAACCAAGCCAATTCCTCCTAATAGCACTCGGAGCGGTCCAAGTAATAGCGCTGGGGCGCGCTCTGACGCGTACCGACGATCGCGGCGATCGCCACTGCTGTCGCGAAGTATGAACGCTGCCTAACACACAGAGCATAACCCAATATTGACCACAGCACTCTTGTACTTATGCGAGTCCGGTGCCAATAAATGGCGAATTCAAGGGAATCGGGAGCTTAAACTTAGGTTGATTTAGTTTCAGTAGGCACATCCACGCAGTATCGCTTGCACGGCATTGCACTGTTGCTCAAACTTGGCTCAACAGCTGAACTCCGTCAAAACTTTTGATGAACCGGAATTCTTCTAGTACGGGTTCAAAGTCGATTTATGATTCGTATGACGGGCGCGAATTGCTTAGACATGGTTTCCGTATCGCGTGAGTTATGGCAGCCGATAAGCTTCTCTGACAGCACGACCCAGTCGATGACGTTCAAAGTCTCTCTGATAAGGGAACCTTAAACCCCCGGATGACAATGGCGTGCTTCGAAAAAACCGAGCGATAAAGTCACTAGTGGCAAAGGAGAACAAAGGAGCACACGAGAAGCACGCGCCCAACAGTAAACACGAGATTTATCGCCGGAAATTCGTCTCGTGCACTTTATATACTGAGCTGGGAATTACGACTAGGGGGAAGAATGCGATAAAATGTTTCAATAATAGAGCATGTTGAACCTCCTCCCCCCCCTCAGAAAACGAGGTCGTATGGGGAACTCGGCGGGGTTTGGCGACGCCGGGGCGGAGGGAGGGTGGTTTGTGCACTTTCGCTATTTCTCAACGTCGTGTTGAGCCATCAAGAAGAAATTTGTGAAATTTTGTGAGCCCATCAAAAAGTACTGAACAACGGGAAGCAATGAGAGTGCGAAATTTCCCCTCTCCCCCTCCGTTGCCCAACTGGGCCAGGAACCCATCTCAAATACGATCACCCTATCCATAGCCCCAGCAAATGCCAAACTTCCAAGCGAGATGGACATTCATTCAGCACACTATGGAAAAACTACGATTGTGACGAAGGGAGGGGACAGCTGACCGGATTTGCACCCTGATTGGTCAGATGTACACCACGGCTAGTACTGCTGAGCTCCGATTGCCGCAATGGCATTTTTAGGATCGATATTACAAGTATAAAAGAAAGCAGCGTTGATCAGTCTCTCCATGGGATACGTAACGTATCCGACTTCCACTGGTAGTCTAGAAGGTTTGAAAACTACTTGGTCAAGGCGATGGTTAATCCATTTTTTATTTTTTGCAGTTACGTATGCTTCCCGTCCGCCTACCCATTTCCTATCGTTACCCACTTTTCCCACTCCCTTGGCTTATTTGGGACTGAGTTACGAAATTCTGATCCAAGATAGGTTCACAGCAGGTGTGGCTCCATCAACCGTCCCCCTATTCATTCCCTGCCATCTTCCACAACTTCCACTCCCCGGGCTCTTTGAATTACGAATTGTTGATATGCTTGTGGCGAGCACCCCCCCCCCCCTATAGCATGCCCTGCCCAATATGGGAGTGTCTTCCTCATTTCGTTCGCCAACCGACTGCCTATCGTTTCCCACATTTTCCACTCTTCGGGCTTTTTTGGACCCGAATTACCAATTCTCGAAATAAAAACTCTCGGGTAAGGAATGTGGGTAGCCCTATAGTGGGCGGGGCTTAGCTGTCCATGCTTATTCCGTACATCTTGGCCCATGCCCTACCCATCCTACCTATGACCCGGTTCCTCAAACTGGCTCTTCAAGTGATGCCAGTATCCGGACAGACAGACAGACAGACAGACAGAAATGACAGACAGAAAGACAGACAGACACACACACGCAACACAATAGACGTTGCCTTTTTGCCTTTCATATATAGTAGGGATAGGATCGTGGTTGACCCTGAAGCAAGGGAAGGCCTAGTTGGCTCAGAGTCACTCCATTGCTGGTCCCCAGACCGCGCTTATGGGAATTAGCACCACTTTGCACTACATTCTGCCCCAACACATTCACAAGACTAAAAAACCGATAACTTCAGCTTCTTGACGTGCGTGACTTATCAATTCGTTCGGTGACCGTGGATGGAAAGGTGGTCGATTTCCGAATTGCTCCGAATGTTTACACTTTCTTTGGCTCGAAAATGACCATCTATCTGCCAAATGACGTACAGCAGGACGGCAACAGATTGTAATGTTTTCTTCAAAAGATCTGCTCGAAAAGTTGACGCTGTTCGGCTTGGGGGGGGGACATTTTGCCGTTTCGCTAGCCTCCTATGTTAGTTCATGTTGACTAAAGAGTCTTACTATCGTCAGACCTGAAAAATCCTCTTAACCTGCGGAAGTGTTCGAGTTAGTGACTTTGGTCACAGAAATTTGCAGGTATTTACGAGGTGGATTGTACAAGCTGAGCTGAGTGTCATTCAGTGCTCCCACCGAGCCGAACTGCGCCAAAAAGTTCATTGTACTCGAGAATTCCGTCAAAAATTTCGCATTTTCAGCAGCGTGGTGATTTTCTACAGCACATCTCCAGACGCCACTGCTCCTTCAATGGATGAGGAAGGAACAAACTGCTGATAAAAAGGTGGTTTTTCGCTACAGCAATCTCTAATTGTCGCGTTTGAGACGACAAGACGCGGGTTTGCAGCGCCTACGTGCGTGTGCCTGATTACTCCAATTATGGACGCAGTGATGCTACCGGCGTCCAGCACGAGTCTGACGGGTCTCAGAGCTCAGTTACGGTTAGTTTCTCAAGCGCACATGCAGCAGAGTGCATGATCTCTGAGGGAATCCCCTCAGTGTGCCGTACTGCTTGCAGGGGAGGAGAGGGCAGCGGGGAGGGGAGTCGTATCTGACCCCGATAGAAGTTACTCAATTCTTTCTCGTTTTTTTTGCACCTCCTATATCTCCTTTACTGAAAAACTGAAGATGAAAAAGTTGGGGAAAACTTAGGAGATGGTAGCGTAGGATGGCGAAGCGGTGTCGAACCAGCGAAGGAAACCTCGAGGGTTTAAACTTTATTTTTGACACCGTCATTCAAGGACATCGCGTTGCTGTACCCTGATTTCAAGCGCTAGCGATCATATCGGATGTCTTTTTTCAAGACACATTCCGCGGTGACCGCATGGGCGGAGACGGAGAACTATCGCACCATCCTCATTGGTGCGCCATCCTCCTGAGGCGGTAAAAAGAACGGTGCTTGAAGCTGTGCCCTCAGCTTATTAGATCATTCCAGGCACCGTATTTGTTCTCTCAATGCCAAGCTATCCATGCACGATCAATTGTTCCCTGTATGGACACGCCTTCCGTGAAATCGACCTACGAAGCTCAGGTATCCATGGATGCTGTCTTTTACAGAATGCGACGCGCGCCGACGCGAAGCGCTCTCTACACTGCGTCAATTATACGATGATAATTTGCAGGTGACAGTACCAGCTGGGCTCACTTGCCTGATGAGCGCGATTGGCGAAGGATCTAAGGGTGACGACGAGCACACCACATTCTTCTTCAAACAACCCGTCGCCATTCCCTCTTACTTGATTGCCATCGTTGTTGGGGTGCTGGAAAAACGTGACATCAGTGAAAGGCAGGTTTTTTTCCGCGCCTTGATTTGTCTGGAAGCGGCTTGATGCCCTCAATTGTGGACTATTTACAGGGTCGCCGTGTGGGCTGAGCCATCCGTCGTGGACAAAGCACACTGGGAATTTGCGGAAACTGAGGATATACTCGCTTGTGCTGAGGATATCTGCGGCAAGTACATCTGGGGAAGGTAATTCTGAGATTTTAGCTTTTCTCCTGCTCATGGACCGAATTTTTGATCTTTCATTTCAGGTATGATATGGTTTGTCTACCACCATCGTTTCCTTTTGGTGGAATGGAGAACCCGTGTCTCACTTTTCTCACACCAACTCTTATCGTGAGTGGTTTCAGTAGTATGGGACACGCCCAGCGTCTGGGCGCATCCTTTGAGACCGTTCGTTTTTATCCTTTGGTTCATAGTCTGCTAA